GGGAGTCCAGCGACATAGCCATTACGCCATTCGCTGGTCCCTATAACCATAAATTTTAAGAGTAAGGATTTGAACTCAAGTCGAACTGAGTCCAAACCCCATGCTGCAATTCACAAATGCTCTCTAGATTTTGAAGGTAGGAATCACATTTTATTATTCTTGTTCTTTTCATGTCTCATTCTCTGCCTGAAACAAAACACTCAGTAATTACGTGCTGAATTACCAAATCAGTATGTTGTAGTAGATTTTATTACTGGGTGCTAAGATTTTTCTAGAATAAAAACAATTATTTTTACTTATGTGGACTCCTAATCATTTTGAAAATATAATCCATCATCTATCACATGAAAGTAAAAAAAAAAAAACTACTAGGATACGTACTGTTAAAAATTTAGAGTAAGTGAGACCAGCAGATGGACTCCCACCTAGTCGACTGTGGTTAGAGTCCCGGGCTCAGTGACTTAAAACTCATGCTGGTTGCATGTGTGTGTGTGCCCAAAATCTCGAGATGAGAATGGAGAAGAGGGGACTGCAGTGTGGCTATCCCCCCTAGAGAGCAATTTTTTACTTTCTGCCTCTCTGCCTGTCACTCTAGTGAGTGCATGCACCCTATAGCAAAAGTCTCTCTAAAAAAAAACTTAGAATAAGCATGTTGATTTCTGCAAAAGAAAAAAGGTAGCTGGGATTGTGATAGGAATTACATAGTATCTGCAAATCTTTTGAGAATGTTGCACTCTGATTAGTATAGTTTTCTAATCCATAAACTCAGCATCTTTTTAATAAATTTTTCTTAATTTACTCCAATGATGTTTTGCATTGATAAATCTTAGACTTGTTATTAAACATACTCTTTGTGTGTGTGTGTGTGTGTGTGTGTGTGTGCATGTTTGTTTGTTTTTGCTATAGGGTGTGCATGCTTACTAGAAAGACAGACAGAAAGACAGAAAGTGAGCAATCACCCCCCAGAGGGGATGGCCACACCGCAATCCCTTTTCCTCCTTTCTCCTCTCAGGATCTTGGTCACACACACACACGCATCCAGCATGATTTTAAGTCACTAGTTCCAGGACTTGAACCATGGTCGACTACATGGGAGTCCAGCTACATAGCCATTACGCCAACTGTTGGTCCCTAACATACTCTTAAGTATTTTATTCTTTTTGATTCTGCCATAAATCAAAATTTTTCTAAATTTTATTTCTGTATTGTTCGTTACTAGTGTATAACAATGCAATTGATTTTTGTATGATGATTTGATATCCAGTAAACTTGCTGAACTTTATTAGCTCTAATTATAGTTGCTGTTTCTGTGAATTACTTAGGACTTTCCATAGGCAAGATAATGTCATTTGCAAACAGAGATAGTCTTATTTCTTGCCTTCCTCCTTTTTTCTCTTCCCATCTCCTTTAAAAAAAAAAAAAAAACTTGCCAGAGGGCATGTGTGTTCACGAGACAGGGGAAGGGAAGAGAGAGAGAGAAAGCACCTTCCAATAGAGCATGGTCATGCCACAATCCCTTCTCTTTCATTTCTTGATTTTTGGGCATACATGCACAAGCACCTGGTGTGTGTTTCAAGCTGCCAGGGCAGAAATTTGGACCACATCAGCTATGTGGAATGCAGCTCCCTTAACTACTAGTCTATGAGGCTAGACTCTCCCTTACCCCCTCGTCCCCATTGCCATAATATTTCTGAGGTTCGAATACCTACACAGGTAGATTAATTCTCTCCTCTAGTTCAATGTCGAATAGAACAGCTAAGAGGAAACTTACTCCTTTATTGTCACCAATATCATATCCACGGGAGGGGCGGGGAGAGTGACTAAGGATTCGCTTTCCAGCATCAGGGAAAAGAGTCTTTGCTATGTGCCAAATGGAGAGTTAGTCTAGGATTGGAAACCTTCAAGTTTATGCTCACACAATTCTTTTAGATGCGAGTTTTTCATTCGTTTGTTTTACTTA